TGTCACCTCGGCTTATAGAAAGAATATTGCGTTAGAAACGGAAACGGAACTGCCATCAGCAGCTCAACATATGGCTGACTATCTCTGGATATCAACATCGACGAGAATAACATACTTCCTGGTATTACGGCTGATAAGAAATTAATGTGAACCAGCAATACTAGCGCAAACGTATTAGATACCATAGGGACGAGTATAGTCACCTGACAGCTGTCCTTTGTGTACAATACCCCGTCACTACCTCATTTCAACATTTCCACTGCCATCTCACGGAGTTGTAAACATGGATTGTCTACCCCTGGAGCTAAAGCATTCAATCGCTGGAATAGTAAGAACACCGCGATTAGCATTCGAAACCAACTAATTCGGAACCTAGGTTCGAGATGTGTCGTGGGAAACCCTGCGGGCTTTATCACAGGTGAACCGCCAGTGGAATCAGATTACAGCGCCGAGTCTCTATGAAGATCTTACTCTCCGCCTAAAGTCGGACGAGCCACCTCACCGTGTGCTTCAGTTGCTAGACGCCACTCTTGTCTTGCCGCATATTAGATATCTCACCCTCGTGGATCCCACCTCCTCGAACTTAGGTAAAACCGACGTAGGGAAGTATCTCAATGAGACGCGCCCCGAGAATATCGATGTCCCTCCCATACTGCGTGGATACAAAGGGGACTGGGGCCCAGTTATCTCCCTCCTCCAACGGCTGGTGTGTTTGAAGCGGCTTCATCTTTTACTGTGCCCATCATACCCGCAGGCCCTGCTAGATACCCTAGCAGAGACTCATCCAGACTGTCACGTTTCGGTGTTCTCCGCTAGCCCCGATACCTACCGAGCAAATATCACACAAAATAAATGGATCCACTCTACCGTGGTGAAGGTCGCTTGGATCGTTTACTATGAACATTCCAGAGGCCAATTCTTCGCCGAACACCCGGATCGCCTTCTGCGGAACATTCTCCGTCAAGCGCCGGGGATCAAGCGTCTGACGTTGCAGATCAGCGCCACGCCGGGCCCCAGCTCCTGTCAGCGGTACACCAAGTGGCTGCAGGCCCAGCCGTCGGAGGACGAGGTCAATATCCATCCACGCGCGCAACTGGAAATGCTTTCATTCCCATTGATAAGCAAGATGACCACGCGGAACCTGCAGGCCTGGTCGCGGGTTACCGATCTAAGATACCTCACCACGTAGACCGTTGGTGCCATCGAGGACATCACCCTCTTAACAACCATCACCCAACTGCAGCCCTTCCGGGCCCTAAAGCGACTAACCCTCACCCTGAACCCCCCAGAAACCTCTCCCACTTGGTTCCCAGCAGTCAAAGCCATGTTCAACGCCCTCCCGCCCTTGACCTATCTCTGCCTGCTGGGATCCTACCACCCAGAATGGCTCCCCACCGCTATCCTGGATCGCCACGGCCTAACGCTAACCGAGCTGCAGCTGCACAGGCCCCGACCCCGGTTCCAGAACTACGAGCCCTACCGACTCGTGCGGAAGGAGCAAATTGCTCCGATCTTCCCTGCAGATATAATAGCCAACATAGCAGCCCACTGCCCTGTCCTACAGACGCTGCAGATCACCGTGCAACGGTACCGGGGCCACCCAACCGAGACGGCCGCTTACAATGCTCTGGGCCGTTTCCCAGCCCTCCACACACTGGACCTTCACCTCAACTGCCTACCCGTCATGATCTCAGGCTATGAGACCCCATTTCCCCCACGGGAGCTCACTGCGTACGAGCGCCAGACGATCCCAGCCTGGCACGGCAGCCTTCCCAAGTGGAAGGTTCGGGACACCGCGATCAACAGTGCGTTCGACAAAGCGCTAGCTACAGCGATCTTTATGCGCATCCGGGGCCAAAAAACGGGGAAATCCCTCCGAGAGCTCCGACTGCACCCTCTCTCAGGCCAGGTTGGGCAGTATCAGGGATTCCCGGCCATCACGGGCCATGTACTGCTCGGAGGCGGCGATTACCACCGGGAGATGGGTGGCGCGTGGCAGGTCGAGTGGGATGGGGCCAATGGGATGCGGGCGGGAAACTGGTTCAAGCCGAAACGCAAACGGGGCGAGACGATGCGCAGCATGGATTTGGAGATATTCGAGTCTATTTGGCCGTCGGATCGAGAAGAAGAGACCTGGCCTATGAAATGGCATAGCTGGCCGTTGCAGTGAGGGTTACTGAGTTGCCACCAGAGCATCGCCGTGTTGCATCGTTTGTGGTTCGTATGAAGAAATAACGCCTATTAGCTAGAGTGATTGTCTTGGTTATATATCTCGCAAAATACAGTCTATCTCTCTAGTTGGTATGCTCCAGGCCCAGAACAGCACATTCATCCATATACGGCAATCCCGAGTAGAATGGCACGGGATACTGCAGATTAGCTACGTTCTTGCTTCCACTTCCCTCCGTGAACTCATCCCATTTCCAGCTCTCCATCAACTTCAGGCTGCTGAAGTACCCCCTTGCACGAAGATACCCCTCGTCAACATTCGGATCTCCGCGTCTGGCAAAGGCTGCCCACATATCCTGCACCATATTTGTATAATAGATATCCTCCGGCGCACGGACCGGCAGATCAAACAGATAGTACGTACCGAACACCTCATACAGATCTCCAGAGTGACATTTGTAGTAAGGTGTGTCGGGCTTACCAACGGGGTACGTGCAGAGATCATACCAGTCATAGTAATTTAGGCCGTAGGCGCGCTGGTGCAAGTACACGTAGAGACTGTTGTATGCGTGGGATGCTGCACCGACGGAGGCAAATTCTTTGGAGTAGCAGGTCATGCCGGCGGGTGAGTCAACGTGGATGGTTGCGTTGTAGGGAGTGGAGTAGTTTCTCCAGAGGTCAGAGGAGAGCACGGCGTCCTCTTCAGACTTCGTGATGGAGCCGCTGCTGACGAGGGTTTGAAGGGTGGCGGTGAAATTTGTTGCGTTGGGGGAAATGGTGGTTTGGAGGATGGATTGCGCCTCCTCGGGCATGAAGCCGGTAATGAAGTTGACTTTGTTGATCATGCATTTAGCGATCTGGGTGAGTGGGTAGTCGAAGATGTAGCGGTTGTCGATGACGGTGTCCCAGGTTACGTAGGAGCTGATGTTGAGGAGGGTTTCAGTCGGCAGGGATTGCAGGCACTTGAGGCGCTGGGTTCCCATAGTGTTATTGCAGAGGGGCTGAATGTAAGGGAGAATAGCGGCAGCTGAAGCGTTGGAGGTCTCAACGTGGCCGGCGATGGACTGGGCGATGGCGTTTTGAAAAAGACCGTTGGCTTTGGGGGTAGTGAGGAGATCGATGACGGACGAAGCACCAGCGGATTGACCGAAGATGGTCACGTTGTTGGGGTCTCCGCCAAAGGCTCGGATGTATTTCTGGACCCATTTGAGCGCCTCAATCTTGTCAGTGAGTTGAGCGTTTCCGGGAATGGTAGAGTCATCGAGGCTCAGGTAGCCGAAGATGTTGACCCGGTAGTTTATGGTGACTAGAACGACGTCGTTGCGGCTGACGAAGCTGTCGCCGTCGAAGGTGGAGTCGGCACCGGTTCCTGAAGTCTCGCCACCTCCGTGGATCCAGAGCATGACTGGCCTGTAGGAATTTGTTTCGTTTTTGGCTGATGGAAGAGAAGGGGTGTAGACGTTCAAATGCAAGCAGTCCTCGCTATTTCCCCAGGGGTTGAGGCCGTAGCTGTTTCCGTCATACCAGCCAGATTGGATACATGCAGGGCCGTATCTGGTGGCGTTGACGTAAGAGCTCTCAGCCCATTCTTGGGCATATTTGAAGCGAAGTTCTCCCACGGGGGGCTGGGCGAAGGGGATTCCCATGAAGCGGAATGCCATGTGGTCGCGCAGACCCTCGAAGGTGACGCCATTGGTGCTAGCATTGACTCTTGGGAAGTGAGAATAATCTGTATCCACTTGCTTGACGAACTCAGCGGAATTGGAACACAGGAAGGGGAGAGCAGCAGGCAAGGAAGCATTGGCTAGTTCGCCATTCCAAGATGTCGGACGGTCTGAGCTGCAAGAAGACCAGAAGAGCTGGTCCGAGTCAATGTTCTTCAAATATTGTTGGTATGTGAGTGAATAATGGAAGCCTGGATAGTCTTTGCAGCTGAGAAGTGATTCATTGTACTGCGCACATGTTGCCTGCGCATCTTGGTAGGTCAAGGCATTGCTGACGAAGAGGGCGCTGGGCTTTTCAGCATGTGTTGTCCAGTTGCCGTCATTCTGGAAGAGTACAGTGAGACTGGCATCTGCTGGTACACAGCTATACAGCAAGCTCAGGGTGGCGATGAACGTACGGCCCCTCATTGTGCCAGTGAAGATGGGTTGCTAGGCTGACAGAGACCATGGCTCCCCAGGTTTTTATGCGAAACCAAAATTGCCTGTTTTGCGATCGTAGTGGAGGATAAAGTCTGTTCCGCACGCGGCCAAAACTGGAGGAGATGTGGGGAAGTTGAGGAGGAAATTAGGCTATTCGTATCTCCGCCATTCGGAGAAGCCATCCCGAATGCTGGAATCCCGGAGAGAAACCTCTTCACGGCATGGCCCCAATGCTTGACCGACACAGTCCCTGTGCAACTGCGGCTCCCATTACCTGTTAACTGCCGACCATGCCATCATAGGCTTTGCGAGTCTCTCCTGCCCGCTTTTCCAGGGCGTATTAGCTCCCCCAGTGAACCGTAGCGTGTTGGACCTCCCACAGCTGCGTCATAGTTCTCTGAAGGGATCCATCTAGAGACGGCATGGCGGGATCTTTTTTTTCCAGGTGATTACAAACTGGTGATGGCTTGTAACAAGCCTCCTTAAGTATAGAGTACTGCCGATATCGGCATCCCGATGGGTATCTGTCACGAATAAAGTTGCTTTGCAGGTTGCAAATAAAACTATCCAAATGGAGAAATGCAGGAATGTGGGGTGCCACGTGACGTGCGGGGGGACCGACAGCCGAGGCATCTCCGCCATCTCCGCGTCTCTCCTCTCCATATCTCTTCTGAGGATATTGCTTCGTATCTCCTTGTCTCTACCTAAAACATCGTTCTGATAATAAGGCAACTCTTGATATATACCGCATATGCAGATGCCAGCCTCTGCGGTGATTTCGGAATTGCCTTAGATAGATAACCCTTGACTCCTTTGTTTGGCCTCTATACGACCCACAGCCCAATATGCCAGTCGCATCACTCTACCTGCTTGCACTCAATACCGACACAAGCACCTTTCTCAACTCTCTCCGCTCCTCTCGTACCGTGATCGTAAGCTCTAGACCGCGACATGCCGTGATTCGTCCCACAGTCCTCGACCAGGACATTCTAACCAAGACGCCTTGGGATCTTCTCATTCTCATCCAACCGCCTTCGGATTCACCTCCGATCCCCTCTACTCTTCAATCTCAAATCAAGACTCAGTACCATGTAACAGTGGGAATACCTTCCAAACTACTCGCCACCTACGCCTCACGAGACGAGTCCCTTAAGCGCACTGCTTCATCCGTCCCATTGACTGGATCCTTAGACCAGGCACGCAGCAAACCGACCTCCCAGAGCCTGGAACTCTCACCCGATCTCCTTAACTTTATGGATAAGCTTACCCCTCAGCATTCGGGGCCTGTAACGATGCTCAATTTGCTACACTTCAACCACCCAAATGGGAAGAAGAGCTACTACCAGTATGGGCAGTCTTTCATTCCTGTGGCTGGAAAGAGAGGCGGAGATGCAAAGATAGTGGGTAACGTGGTAAAGCCGAAGTCAGGAACTGCGAATGCTGTGGACTCGAGAGGAGACTGGGAGAGAAAGGAGGAGGATTGGTGGAATGAGATATCTATCGTGCATTATCCTTCTATCCGCCATTTTTGTGATATGCTTGCTGGGGAGGACTATCAGGAGATCAACGAAAAATATCGATTGTCGGTAAGTTTAGTGTCTGGTAGTCAAGGGGCACAGTTGCTGATGTATTACAGGCTTTGAAGGACACCTTCTTACTTTGCACAACTGAGTTTGACGTGGAAGGAGCATCTCCAAAACTCTAATCTTTGGCAATATCTGATTTCTTGCTATCTTTGCCTACGTGGTCTCCAACCACCAACGCGCGCCTTGAGATATTGATGGATTATATACAAACACTTGAAACCTCCCCTTCCCGCTGTATTGTGATATGATGATAATATTGATGTAGTATTCAATGAGAACGCTTTTGCTTCCACATATATATAGACCTCAAGATCAGAAAACCAGTATCAATAATTCAATAGGAGAGATTATACCCTCGCCTTCAGTCACGATTGAGGCCCATCATACGCCTCTTCGCCCGTCTTAGGATGTCTCTGGGGTGAGATCAATGTATGCAGTTTCGTAAGACTGATATGGACATTTCCTTCCTCAAAGCTTAATTTGAGGAAGAGAGCGGTATAAGAGCACTCAGGCTGGGCGTGTGAGCATTCTTTAAGGTCATCAAAAGTTCAATATAATTCTGATGACTGGTGTCTTCTGTACATAATCTTCCTGTAAGGAATTACGCCTTCAGTTCTTTCCTTTCCTGCCTTCCTATTAGCAGCAGAGTGTTTGCTTAGACTATATTATGGCTCTTCGTCCCTAAAGATGGTAGTGACAGTTCCAGATGGTACTCTATTCACGAGAAGTGATATCGCCATGTTTGTTATTCTGGTTTGAAGTCATCCTGTGCTGATGGAGATATTCGAGACACAGGCATCGGGCTCATAACCTGTTGAGTGGATTCCAAGCTTTTTGAAGAAGTATCCTTCGTGAAAAGTACTGATAAGAGTCTGCGCTGTGTTTCGAAGATTTCCCACTTGAGTCGAAGGCAGAATAGATAGTAAAACCCATCCGGGCTCATAACCTATTCAATGAAACAATGCATTGGTGGTTTCTATTCCTCTTTCGCTTCAAGTTCCATCATTGTGGGGGGTTCACTTCTGTATGGAAGAAAATCACCCGAATTTGTGTATGTAATTCCCAAGTCCTGACACGTCTCTCTAGCCTGCCCTTCAATGATCCTCGATTGATCAGCGCTCCTGCTTTCTTTCCATGACAACATTGGGCATAGATACGGCAGTAAATCCCCTTTTCTCGCTTTCCCTGTTTAGCTCAATGTATGCTCAATCAGACGTAGATGTAAATGGGATGCTTTCTTCCTCACTTTCTTTCTCAGGGTAGCTTCGTCTCGCAGTAAATGATGACTTTTGCGACATATTTCTTTGATGGATCACAGAAAACCAGGGAAATGTGTACTGTCAGTCATTCTTTGGACAGAATAATTTGAGAATTGTCTTGGGTAGAGCATCACCAAAGTCTCGCCTGAAAGGTCCTCGAGCACAAAGACAGAGCATCGTTCGAAAGAGTAAAGGAAGATCGTATCGTGTGTGAGCGAGATAGGCATCATGCAGCATATGTCGACAAGAAAGTAATTTTGAATAAGTGCTAACCTTGTGGCGTACTTGAAATGATAATAAGCTTGCAAGGTTTCTGTCTTTAGGTTCCAGATCGACGTGTTCCATAACTATGGTGGTGGCGCTCCAGAGAGTTGATCAAGTGTTTGAGATTTCTCAAGACTATTTCGGGTTCTGGACAGTTTCGGAAATGGAGATGTTGTAGTAATAAGACCAAATCCAATCCACTGAGACTGCGTTATTGAGGTGATAATAGATGCAATATTTGATCATATGTGAACTCGGTTGTTGTACCCGAAAGATCTTTCGTAGCTGTGGCATGTAACGCTTTTCTCTGTTGTTGCCTCTGGTTGGGGGTAGCAGTCACAAACTGTTGTTCTCTCTGGTTGTTTGGGGCCTCATCCAGCCTATGCTGCAGGGAAGGGTCCAAGGAGTTCCAGGCACCTTGCCAGAGATTCATTCTGAGTGTTCAGGTAATAACAGACTTATTGAAAAATACGGAAAGGTAGTTGATTAGGCTTCACAAGGAGGGATCAAGGCTTGAGTTAAGGGTTTGAAGAAAGGAAAAGGAAAGAAAAGGCGAAAAAAAGGCGAAGGAATTGAGAAGAAGCTCTCTGCAGCCCAGCGTTGTCAGTAATATGATTGTCTTGTTCCTCTTGCACATTTTTGGCTTTAGTCACGTCTTGTATAATGCTATAATGGCACGATCCTGCGTTGGCCATTCACATGCAGGGGTCATAGTTTTGCGATGGCACAATGTGTGCCTCGATTTGCCTATTGACACTATAAGTGTCCTTCTATGGATATTTGAGCCCGTCTGAACAAGATATAATGGAGTTATTGCGCTTAATACGCTCTGTGTGAATAATTAAATCACTGGGTTGTGGAAGTAATGGGTCAACCATACGAGATGCAAAACACTGTTCGAGGTCCCAATCGTTGACGAGACAAGATCATCATTTATACATGATTTAGCAGTGAGCCACTGTAGGTTTGGCCAAATTTCAAATCGACTTTGGGAGGTGGGTTTTGATGCAAGGTACAATTCAGAAGCAATGGCCATGTCGAAGAGCAACAGAAGAGATTAGATCTCCAAGGATTGTCCATGGTTAGCCATCCTGCATCCAGTCCTCTGTCGTATATAAGGAGGGAACCAGGGAACACTTTTACGGCCGACCAAGAGCGCGCCTGATTATAAAATCCATATTGGTGCCTCGAAAAGTGCCCCAGACAGATTTCTTCTCATTGTGCGGAGTGACTGAAGCGCATTCTTGTCATCGCCATGCTTCTGCTCAAGAGACAAGCTGCATTCATCCCACGCCATGACACAATAGACAGCTGCCACATCTCTTGATATGTGTATATAATACCTCACTGTCCTTCATTTCTTGTGCCATGTTGACTTCGCTAGAAAAGCGTGAGTTCTGCATTGCTTTCCACTTGATAGTTTGGTTAAAGCGTTTGTGAGAAAAAAACTCATCATAAGGGATGACCGACCAGAGTAATAACAGCGTTAGCAACAGCTCATTGCTAACCGGCGCCTGAAGCTCCTTGGCCACGTCACAGAAGATAAATACAATGTGCATGCATTGCAGCAGGCGAGAGTGAGGTACCTGCTGTACTTCGCAGACGGAGAATGAGCAAGGCTTTGTCAGAGGAAAGGCAGCGTTTATATGCAGCAAGTCCGCTTCTCGGCTCGGAGTGCCTCAATGCGTGTAATCTCAATCGCATCTTGTTGAGTTTATTAACCTCGTTTTGCGCTTCTTGACACTGAAATCCTGGGTCGGCGGCCCACGTTCTCCACGGCCAGATATGACAGAAGTAGCATAGTCATTAACCGCCAAAAGAAGCTTGCAGTATTGACAGAAGAACTAATGTACGTCAAAAATGGCATGATTGAAGGAGCACATCTCCCAGGAGGTATTGTTCAACCGAGTGAAGAGTGTTCACGCTGAATGCAGTAGTCCGTAGTAGAGGGACTGCTCACAAGGCTGCCCAGCAAAGGGGCTATTTAATACTCAATGTAAAGATTTTTCCTGTTATTCTTGTTATGTGGAGATGCCAGAATTGAGATGGAACTTGTACAATCACTTCTCTCTCCCTCAGGTCCTCACCCCGGGATAACTGCTTGAAGACATCGAGGAAGAGTGGGTATTCAGCGGAGACCATGATAAAGACCTAGTAATTGAGGTGGCTTTCAGCTATCGAGAACCAAGCAAGGCTCATCTGGTCATAGATCGGGTGCAATGTCACAAAAACACCTCCCCATTTTTGTGGTGAGTATTCTCAGCCCAGTGGCGCCTACCTTCCGGGTGATACTGGAATGTCTGTGTGCCGAAGGTGAAGCTTCTGTATACGTAGCATCACTGCACGGACACCAGGATTCATTATGGTCAGCGATAATGTCCTTTCTTGTTGGTCAGTGATTCTGACCATTGGCATATCAGCGATCAAACTAGCTTTGTGCCCAAATCTGGGTGTCTTCCTTCAGACTCGGGCCTAGCGACAATGAAGCTTCTTCGTTCCGTAATATTATATAGATAACAACACAAAATTCCGGAGACGAAGTCAGGTTCATCGTGAAATGTTGGCTACTCGTCTCGGGACCCCACCGGACTTGATGGTGTACCCTGCCTATGTAGCCATTTTCGTCACTATTGGTGAATGATTTGGGGTTATTTGAGTAAGGCGTTCGACAGTGACCCATTCCCAAATGGGTAATTCACATGAGGAATAACAAGCCCCATAGCAGACAAAGGGTGACCGAAGTGCCTGCTACTGTGAATACTATGTCTCTCCTAAGAAATCTGATACATTGGGATAATGGAGAACTTATAAGTTTTTGGAGGCTTCACTTGCCGTTCATTGCACTGGTAAATTTCAGTTCACTATGCTATTTTTTATGATTAGCCATTGGAAGTTGCCGTGAATTAGTGGGGTCATTTTTATTACAGATATTTTCTAGAGCGGCAGATGCCGATAGACTTGCCCTTTGAGCCTATCAAAGGAGAATTTGTAGATCCCTGCTATGTCGGTATGATAGTCGCTCTGGTCCAACTATTTTAGGCGTAGGTAGAGTCTGATCAAGATAAGCTAGTCAAATCCTTCGAAGGGTTTATGAAGTACGATAGAATAATAAGTATTGATAACTAAGTTAAACCGAGGTCTGATGGGGTGGAACTACGACTAATAATATTTTGAGGCAATTATCGATCAATCAAAAATATCACCATCATCACCTTCACCTTCAGCCGAACTGTCGGGAGAACAGAGAGCACCAATCCAGGTTTCAGAGTCTGGGAATTGAGCCACATTGTCAGTCAGGATCTGCTTGACATCGCCTTGGCAGTAGTTGTTCCTAATTCTGTTAGTTGCTTGGTTAACTGGAGCAGGAACGAGCGCCACCATACGGATACAGAATGCAAGACTCCTCCACCGACACGCGGATAGATCCAATACGGGCGTCACTATGTACAAACAGTCAGTAACTCGGTTACCTAGCCAGCTGCCTCACATTTTAGATGAGATGGTTGGGGGGGCAAGGGGTGACACTCACCCTGGCAAAGTGGTGCAACTAGTAAAGACGGAGGTGCCATCACTACCATGAAAGTTCGCCTGCGGAAATAGCAATGTCTGGGCCCCAAGTAAGCATTGCACATCGAGAATAAGTGATACGAAAGGGCAAGGTAGCAGCGACCGCGAGGAGCTCAATCGCCGAAAGAAAAGAAAACCGCTTCGCCCAAAAATTAAACAGTGCAGACACTCAGACACAAGACTGGG